GAATTTTTTAAGGTCAGACAGGTTATTTACCAGTTGACATAAAAAAAGTCTTCCATATATCTTTTAATTAAAGAGAAGTAGTGAGCAGTGAGTTTAGGTGAGTCTAGTTGATTCTTATAACATACTAGTTGGCCAGGCATACGTTGTTCTTCCCATACCGACGACCCTTTGGCGTTTTAAAAAATCCGTAAATTCGCAATAAAAAATAGAGTCTCGTGTCACTCATCGGGATAAAAACTATCCTATCTTTCAAGTTAGACCGAACTGCACACTGTGTACAAAATTTTATTGAAATCAGTTTAGTAGTTTAGGAGTTCTTCGCGGACAAATAACATGACACGTATTTTTAATGTACAAAGATATGTATTCACAATAAACATGTAATAATAATTTTAATTAATTTAAAATTGAGTACACTAAATTCGCGTGTTTACGTTGCGACTACCCGCCTATTTTCTATTTATCTAATTAGCTATAGGATAGGGTTTTATGTAATTAATTATTGGATTTTTTTATTGAATAATGGTGGCAAACAAGGACACAGTTCACCTGACGGTAAGTGGATGCTATAGCCCATAGGCATCTACATTCATCCTCGATGAAGAATCAAAATGCAGATACGTTGTCACCCCTGAGGACTAAGATGAAATGCCTCGTTTCCAGTAAAAATGGTATCCGGTTCTCTATATATACACTCACCATACGAAACACAGCAGCATTAAGCTGCTATTTTTTGCCGGTATACTGTGAGAGCGTGGTCCTTACCCTAGCCAACACATTCGTGCTACAACCATAATATAGCTGCAGCGTAGCTCTACCACGTATAAAGATCCTCGCTACATGGACTTATCCCGTCGTCGGGAGGATTATGTTTCAATCGTCACGCTTGTGTGAGGGGTGTGATGTAATGACAAGATGTCCCAAATATCTGACGCTGCACCCCGTCCCTCCACGGTTGGTACTTGGCACTATAATATCCCAGAAATAATTTATTTCAAATTCAGAAGTAACACATTACTTTTATTTTTATTATTTATTTTATAATTTATTAAAAGCTATGTATATGAAGTAAATGCAAAGAATGTGTTGAGTTTGCAAGTTGTTTCCCGTTACGTAACCTATAAATATTTAAAACGTCAAAAGCACAACCCCACCATACATACAAAATTGAAATACCATACTATAGAAAAAGAAGGAAATATTCATTTGTCACATGCATGCCAATTACAAGGATACGGGCTGTAATGTAAAACTACAGTAAACAAAACACTGGCACATAAGAAAAGAAAAATATATGCATTCGCGCTGTACTTACACATACATACACACATGTAACGGAAATGTGAAAGTCATTAAAGAAATTGGAAAACTTTCATTGTATTCTCTATTTCGAGAAGTAGCCGCATTTATCAAATGCTGTCACCGAAGTAGGCCACTGTGTCGCATGACTATCTTATAAAAATGCCGCTCCTTATGATATTTTGTTGGCCCCATTCAAGCGTTTGGGTTACTATATTTTTAAAGTTTGTCATACTCGTATTACGTCTTTTGGTAGAACTTAGTCGTTTTTTAAATGAAAGGCGTTAATCTAATCACTAACCACCACGTTTATCTGGTAGATTATCGCAGTACCAGATGTGGTTAGGCAAGACAACTTTCTGAGATTGTTAACGCTACAGAAAACTATAAAAATTAATGTGAATGACATATTATCTGAATGTTGAGTTCTCAGAGTAAGTTCTATCATAGAGGTAATCCTTAAAAAAGAATAAAATTCTTATAACTGATTCTGATTCTTATACTCTTTATACATAATACGGTTAACATTATACAAAATAAGATAGCTATATTATTCTCAACTTCTTTCTTTTACAAGGTTGTTGACATTTTTACATTCCATTCCAGATGTGTCCTTTATTGATGTGCCATTAACAAAACAAAAAACGTGATCGATTAAATAATTTATTTTCATTAATCCGGTTTGTAATACTTATTTATAACAATGAAAGATTAAGGCAGCTTCATTTAATATCTTACAACAAAAACTCGACCAAAAGGAATTTCATACTCTCGTTGCATAATTTAAAATATATCGTGAAAAAGTCACTATGAAATCGACTTAAGGCGGCTATTGACCTGCCTGCCGCAGGGGCAATCTAGGGAGCACAGCGATCGGAGCAATATCGAAGGCCGCAGGGCCGACTTTAAAAAATTGCCCCTGCTTGCCTACACACATCACAATTAAGGAGGCAATTAAGGGTCATCCCCACTCCTACACCCTAGATTGCCCCTGCGGCAGGCAGGTCAGTAGCCACCTTTAAAGTCAGCTGGTATATTTCCAGCAAATTATCCTAAGAATTATTTTGGGTTTCACTGGGTTTGCTTCATAGAACATACACAAAGGCATTGCTACGATAGTACAATGACATGAACACGACATCGTCCTGCCTTCTCTTTGTCGCCAGATCACAACTACCATTAAATCGATTACGAGCGTATTACCCATTTCCTCTCTACTCCCCCAAGATATTATCCATCATTCATTCATTAATGAGAGCCTATCAAAAGTCCGCTGCTGAACGTATTTGCCATAGTTCTCTATCTTAGCAAGTGCGTTGGCAATCACAATTTTTTATTATTTGAATTGTTATCAGGAATATTATTTTCCTCTGTCATCTTTAGGTGGGTTAGCCAGCCTATAAAATTGGGATTATATTTTTATAGGAGAGAGTCCCAACGATCATACGGCTCACCTGGTGGTAAGTGACTACCATCGCCCATGAAAAGCTGCAGCACTAGAGGAATTGCAGGTGCGTTGCCACCCTTTTAAAAAGAGTAAGCTCTTTTTTTCGAAGGTCCCTAAGTTGTATCGGTCCGGAAAAATCGCCGATGGTAAACTATTCCACAGAGAGGATGTACGAGGAAGAAAACTTCTAGTACAACCTACAGTGTTGGATGGTATCGGGAGCTTTGCCGCGATGTGCTTTCGTAAAATTTGGTGGCTGGGATTTATCCGAACAATTCCTTAGAGCACTCCCCGTGGTAGATGCCATAGAATCTTGGCTAACCCCGCAGATATCTCGTGTCACATTCATTCACTCTATTGAGCTATATTTTAAGTAAAATACCCATACCGATTTGTCGCTCTGTAAAGTTAAATTTAAAGCCGATAGACGTGCTGGGCACAGACCTCCTCCCATTACTGAGAGCGTTTTTGGGTAAGGAAGTTTCCGCTGCGCAGACCCAATGCGTGTTGGAGAACTTTACATGTTTTCGAAATATTATGTTTTTCTTATTTATTCTTCACCACTGACCACTTGGTAAATAAGCACTTGAAATTGCAATTAACGTTTTCATTGATGCCAGCGGGCATCGAACCCGGGTTGCTCGCGTACTGTGAAAATTACAGCGAGCGCTTAGGCCCTGAGCTGTTACGGCTCTTTTTGGGTATTTTACGACTTGAATATAAGACGATGGACATATCTATTGGAGGCCACGAGATTTTACTGGCTTCTTCGTAGAACCCCTAATCATCTTTTATGACACCCATAATATGCAATGTGATGATGGAGTTGAAAGTTTTACACCGCCTAAATAGTAATTTGAACAATGTATAAAAAATTAAAAATTCATAACTTTATGTAAAAATACGAACATTACTCACATCTATCGGAGAAACAAATTTACTGGCAGCATTGATGAACGTTTTGAAATAAATAATAAAAAAAAACATTCATTTGAATTTTTCCAGTGTACGCAGCGGCAATTTGTTGATGGAATTGTAGCGTTCCGTATTTAAAATATATTGAACAAATAGTTTTGAATTGAGGTTTAAATAAAACAGACGTTAAAATTCTACTGACTAATCCTAAGCTTTTGGGTAATGCTGCAATAAAATGCTCAAATAAAGAAAAGCAAAAATAGACAAAATCAAATTTTACCCTACTCGTATTTTTAGATTATAATAAAAAATTGGTAATTCATCTTCTTTTGTACGTGATAGAGTACAACGCGGCAATATAATGGTTGTAGCACGGATACGTCAGTTCGACCGGGAAAGGACCATGGTCTCACAGAATACCAGCGTAAAATAGCAGATTAATGCTACTGTGTTTCGTATGGTGGGTGAGTGTACAGACCCGGATATCCTTTTTACTGGAAACGAGACTTATCTATTTTATTCTATCTTAGTCTTCGGAGGTGACAACGCATGTGCATTGTGGTTCTTAATCGAAGATGGATGTAGATGTCTATGGGCTGTGGCATCCACATAGCATCGGGTGGACTGTGTGCACGCTTATCACACTAATTCTATAAAAAAATTGATGAAGTTTTTATGGGGTCTCCTGGACGGTTTTCAGGTACAGTTGGATTAGGTAGGTGGTGCTGTTGTAGAGATTTAGAAATCACACGTGTGAAACCTGGGCGGATCACTACTTATATATAAAAATAATGATTTTGTGTTAAAATATTATGTATTTAAATTATTGTTTTAACTTCTGATTTCATAATTTTTATATTACATTATGTGCAAGTCAAATCTGGGATACTGATCGTAAGGTTAAATAAAACCAAATACGAAATAAATAACGTTTTAAATTTAGAAATAGAATTTTTCGTAATAAACCAAGGACTTCCTTGCGTACTGCTAGAGCTAGGCGACCTTATTACTAAGTTACGGTCAATTCTCCGTAACTCCTTTAGTCGACTGCGAGCGGACGGGAAGACTGGTTCCTTGTTTTGTAAACCGCTAACTTTGTTTTCGTCAATCCAAAAGTCATCGCTGTCATTATTTATGTGCGCACTTTATCAAAGTGATTTGAAGTATATTTCAGATAAGTATGTAATTTTATTTCGTATTTACCTCAAAACTGTAACTGTCGTCAATTAAAATACAACTGCTTGGCATACTTACCGTGCCAGGTAACCAGAGCTGACAATTTTTGTTATAAATTACAGGTCAAGTAATATGCATAGAAGACTTCGTAATAAACACTTACCTGGCATCGACCGTCAATGCACATGTCCAAACTGCCAGGTCGACATCGTGTTCCGTCCGAAACCCGCGCAGCGAGCACCGCTACCACCACCCGATCGTCGTCGTCCAAGGACACCGTCTGTCAAAATATAAATTTTATTTTTTCCGCCATATATGACAGTGACTTTATGTATATAGATATATAGCCTGTTTTTTGTCTGTTTGTCTGTCTATTTGTTCCGGCTAATCTCCTAAATGGCCTGACCGATTTTAACAGGATTTTCACTGGCAGATAGCTGAAGTTATAAAATTTAAAATTAAAAAATTTGTACAGCTGATTTCAATATAAGTTTATGTTTATTAATAATAACTCAATAACTATCGGTCTGACTTTGATCAAATCATATAGGACCACACGAGAAGTCAGCTTTTAAATAAAAAAAGAATCATCGAAATCGGTTCACCCAGTAAAAAGTTATGAGGTAACATACATAAAAAAACATACAGCCGAATTGAGTACCGTCTCCTTTTTGGAAGTCGGCAGATAAGGAGTACTTCTAGTTTAGAACAGTTAATTTATAAATATAAATACAATTTATTAAAGCGTTAATTCTTTACAAACTGTAAAAAGTTCTACTGAACATAGACCTTACCAAACGTTGTCTGAAATAGTTGTATTTGCAATAGTTGCTACGTTTGGCCGGTGGATTATTGAGATGTTTTCAGGAAGATGCTGCTGCAAAACACCATTTAAAATTTCCTCTGTCGCCTCTCGCGATAAACAGGATGATGCCACTATATGGCATACCTTTACTGAAAGTACCAGAGGGCATTCTCTCCCATCTCTCCTGGGAACTAGGGCCTGAACGTTTCCCCCTCCCCCTCCCACGTCGTTTAACCTACTAATTTGTGTATAAAAATATCAACATATAGATAAACGTGATTAAAACCGTAAAAGTCTCATTTAAACATTTTTTTATATGCAATGGGTGAAAAACGAGCACACAGTCCACTTGATGGAAAGTGGTTGCTGAGGCCCATAGACATCTACATCTATTCTCGATTACCAATCAAAATGCAGATGCGTTGTCACCCGTGAGTAACAAGATGGAATGCCACTTTTCCAGTAAAAATGGCCTCCGGTTCTTTACACTCACCACATGAAACACAGCAACGTTAATCTGCTATTTCACGCTGGTATTCTGTGAGAGCTTGGTCCATCCCCGGTCGAGCCGACCCATTCGTGTTATAACTGTACTACTAATATAGCTGCAGCATGGCTCTGTATAGCACAACCAAGCCTCTATCACCTATTTCTTTCGCGAACTGCAGTGTGTGCACTGAGGTATTACGGTATGAAATAGCAAGTTATAGCCAATTTACGTACGAGACTGTGAGATTATTATGTGAAATTATTTATTATATCTTAGTCATCAGAGGTGACAACGCGTATAAAAACTTAATCTTATTTGTATGAATTTATTTGTAGGTATCCATGAGCAGTAAGCAATTAGCATGAGGTGAATTAAAAGTACATTTTTCTTCCTAATTTTATAAAAAATAGTATACTTGGAAAAAAACTATAAAATACCTTTTCTTGTAGTATAAGAGTGACAAATGAACACAGTCCACCTGATGATAATAAGTGTATACTGTGGTCCATAGACATCTACGTTAATACTCAATTGAGAATCAAAATGCAGATGCGGCCCATAGACATATAACATCTATCCTCGGTAAGTAATCAAAATGCAGATGTGTTGTCACCCCTCAGGAATAAGAAGGAATGCCTAATTTCCAGTAAAAATGGGTCTCCAGTTGTCTACATTCACTATAAGGAACACAGGAGCATTGAGCTGCTATTTTACGCTGGTATTCTGTGATAGCGTGGTCCTTCCCCGGTCAGGCCTACACTTTGTTATAGAATAAGGGTGATAAACTAGCACAGAGTCCACCTGATGGTAATTGGATACTGTGGCCTATAGACATCTAAATTTAATATCAATTTAGAATCACAATTCAGATGCGTTATCACCGCTGGAGACTACGATGGAATGCCTCATTTCCAGTTAAAAAGGTGTCATGTTCTTTAGACTCAAAATACAGAACCCTGTAACATCAAGCCGCTATTTTACACTGGTATTCTATGAGAGCGCGGTACTTCAAGAAAAGAGCGTACTCCTTTTTAAAAGGCCGGCAACGGATCTGCAATTCCCTCCCTGGTATTGCAGTTGTTCATGGGCGGCGGTAGTCACTTACCATCAGGTGAGCCGCATGCTCGTTTGCCCCCTCTCCTATAAAAAAAAAACTTCCCTGTTAAAACCTACCCTTTAGTGCTACAACCACAATGTATTTGTGCTACAAACAACATATCTCTGTATTTAACACATGGCAGGGCCATGCGCTCTACCGTATATTAAATACAAAAATATTTCTGCTTGCTAATAAAGACGAGCTACTCGACTGGTCTGAGAAATGGCGTAAAATATTTTATGTATATTATTGTTTTTTTTTTTGGTTCGCTTCAATAAGCAGTCCCGTCGGCATTGAGTTCTAGAAAGTGAAAAACCGAAAGCAATTAATTAGGGCATTTAGCTGACGTTCTATTGAGTGCCTCTACTCGAAGCAAAAATTATAAAAAGAAATAGAATCTGCTCGTGGAAACTTTTTCTCGAGCATCGAAATGAAGTTTATTTTATCGGAAATACAAATAATGAAATGTTAAGAGCTTCAAGTCTATATTCGCGTTTTGATTTTGCATTTCATGAATATAAATAAGCGAATGATAGGATAAGCAAGCTTCACTTAATTTATTAAACAAGTGTGTTTTGATTACAGGTTTGTATAAAAGGAGACAGAGAGAATGGAATAGATTAGAATCTTTTTTATTCAATAAAGATTACATGTGATTCTTATCGAAAGTAAATTTTTACTTTTACCACAACTCATTTCAAAAAAAACTCTGTCCTGGGAAGAACCAGCAAGAAACCCAGCGGGAATTCTTTTTAGATAAAATTAATTGACAATTATTATTCTATACAATTAGTATGAAAACATTTAGAAACGTCGTGGTAGCGGTCACCCCATTCCCAGGGGTAATCAATAATGCACTCTTTAATAGTATAATGACCCTTATTAAATAATTTTTGCTTAATAATAATTTTAAACTTTTTTATAGATAAGACTATGAGATAATTTTCTGGGACTTTGTTGTAAAAGCGTATGACGGCACGTGCGGCGGCGTCAGTGTAGCTAGACAGAATTCTTGTAAATAACACGTGCTCCGCACACCTGCACCATTGCACCTGCGGTGGCGCCCGTTTAGCTTGTATAAAACGGACGGAGCTGCCGCCGTTAGGACAGTCTTGGCTCTGACGTGGAACGGTGCGCTTGTCGTATTCCGTTACTAGTTTATCCTCGACTCGTTGGATAATTAATTCGTGTAAACGAATTAATTATTATTCCTAACTACAAAATCAGTCTCTGTACTATGCCCACTATACTTCTTACATGACGGCACGTTATACCCACTATACTTCCTACATATACATTGCCCCATGAAGAAATTACTGAGTATTTGGAGTCGAGTAACTGCTATGACTCGCTTGGTCTATAACTAACTTGTGCTTGTTCCTAATATTTACAGAATGTATATATATCACTATTTTTATTTTTACTATCTCTTTTCGTGTAACTGAAGTTAATATTTATTTCTTTTAAAATTTTCTCCAAGGGATTCCTTCGGACCTAAGTTATAAATTGCTCTTATGATTCAATTAACATTATGCTATGTATATAACTAAAATAAACGAATCTAGCTGCTTCAACAGAGATAGAGAGAGAGAAAGAGAGAGAAAGAGAGAAAATAAAGTTGTGAGTGAGTTAGAAGAGAGGGGAGGAGATCATTAGAAAATCTAGCAAACTTTTTAAAATATCCACTAAAGATGGTCTCTCTGAGAACGTTAAATTGATAAATATCATGATTAGTTTCTTAGCAAAGACTCTTGACAAGTAACGTTTTACAAAAAAAGTTTTAAGCGCAATGTATTCTGCGCAAGTAATGGTAAGTATGGGTACATACAACATATACAATAAGAGATATAGGTTTTAGAAATTGTAATAAAAATGATCTTATACTTCTCCTCCGGCTACACATTAAACTTATCTTCTTTTTGCATAATATGACAAATGCTAACCGAGCATATTACAAACTTCCTTAATATGTATATATAGTGAACCATGTGAATTATAGGACACTATTATTAAATATGATTGGTCTTCGTAAATATGACCATGTATTATCTTTTCGTACTCAGCTTAACTGGCTGCCTATCCGTCAGCGCAGATATGTTAGAATACTCTGCACTCTTTTCACTATCCTGAACGATCCTTGTATTCCTGAGTACTTGAAATCTAGATATGTATTTATATGTATTTTTCAATGTTAAATCATAATAAAATAAAAATAAAATTTTTTATTTTATTATGATTTTGACAAAAAATATTTAGGCGTGGGTCACCCTTATCATTTAGGGGTTTGAAAAATAGTAAAAATGTTGGCCGATTCTCAGGCCTACTCGATATGCACACAAAATTTCATACAAATCGGCTCAGCCGTTTCGGAGGAGCTTGGTAACAAACACCGCGGCACGAGAATTTTATATATTAGATTATTCACATATAATTATGTATTATAAATTAACCTTACAGACCCTGTGAGCCTGTGACGGTCCGCTTCGGGCTTAAATGAGGAGAATAATAGAGAGACAAAGAGGGAAATAATATTCAATAATTATATAGCGCGTAACGGGATACAATTATATTTGTATGTTTTTAAGGCAAAACATAGCACACTAATAATTGCAATCTACGGAAGACTTTAAATGTTTAAGCCTGCCTATGTTTGACAAATAAAATATTCTGATTCTGACTGATTCAGTTGTGCAAACCTGAGTAGGTTAGCCCTAGGGTACGGCACATTAAAAGTGGAATAACGCAATAATAAATATTAACCTACCGGTTCAGGTCTTTGACCGGAGTGTTGTGGTGTGCCCCTGCAGGTCAAAGCGCAAGGTTCAGCATCATCGCGATGTGATGTCCAGTGAAAAAGCTCCCCTCCGTATGGAGTGCTGTCGTGGGCGCTACATTGTTGTTCTCTCCACACATCATCTTCTAACAGTGTGATGTTGCCCCGGCAGGGCTGTAATTGATAGAAAAATTAGTGGTCTGAAGTATAAAAAAGTAAGTAGCTTCCATTGATACTCCTATGCTAGTAAATTTAGTTATTTATTTTTTATCTTAGTAAACATTGAAGCGTGATAAACGTCATAAAAAATATAGCATATCATTCATACCTGTGCTAGGTACAAGTACCCTCAATTTCTGGCAGGGTTATATCGTAATTTAGTGATGACGGACTTCACTTCTCCTGGAAATATTTTTCCTTACATCCAGATTTCCTCAACATATTTACCTTTACCGATGAGTGCTTAGTTATATACTTATTTTAGACTTCAAATTTCACAGTATGTGAGCAAGCCGGGTTCGACCCCCACCGGCATTGGCAGTAGTATTGTTTAATACAATTTTAAGTGCTGCTTTACCACGTGCTCGACGTCGAAGCAAAACATCGTGATGAATCCAGCTTGTCTGTGAAATTAAAAAAAGGTTGGCCGTCACGGGACGCCAGGCAGAATGTGAAACATCAAACTTGATGGTAGAATTTATCATTAATGAAAAACAATAAACAAATATGGAGTTAAATAACTGAAAGAAGGTTTTACAGCCAAGGCGGGCTAATAAATATTTTGCATCAGAAATATTTCGAAGTCACGTCAAGTCCAACAGCTTAGATCGTCTTTTCAGAAATGATAGGCAAAATAAGTTATGTTACAGCCATACTTACGTTCCACTTAAGTGCCTGTTGGCGGACTTTAAATTGCCTTGAAATATTTTAATTCTTAAACATGCAGGTTTCACCACGATATTGCACGCCTCGATATGTGGCCATACCTCAATTTCGCTACATAAAGTCGTTCTTATACTTTTAGTTCTCAAATCCATATTATTATTAACGACGATTATGATTACGAGTACAATAACTACAGACATTGAATTATAAAATTAGTTTATTTTCTAATTGATTCACTTTAGATTGTATAACAAAAAATATAACTGGAAAAATATATGGACTGCCGTCCGTTGGTCTGTGCGTCTGTGAGTCTTCTCGCTTAATAGAAATGTAAGCAATAGATTGAGATATATAGTATTAAATAAGATTCCATACATTCTAAGGGGGATCCCTATTGATTTTTGTTATTGAACTCAACGCCGTTTAAAAGTTATTAATGAAAATCGTTCAGATTCTCTATTTTTTTTTCTCGTAAAAGTTATTCGTCACTATTTTCATCTCTTTCTTGTCACATGCTCATCCGTGTATTTCTTTCTCTTTCCTGTACACACTCTTGTGTAATTTTGCCTCAAACAGCGTCACTATGAGAAAAAACAATATGGATTTAACGTCTATTTTAAATTTAATATCGACAAAATCGAAATATTTTCTTTAACAGTCGTTCTCAAAACCATAGTTTACAATAGATTTCTCTTTTAAACAATTATTAATTTTAATTTTTAACATAGTAAGCGTATGAGGCATGCACTTTTTACCTGTCTGCCAAGGAAGGGTTACGTTTTTCGCGCGTATATTGTATGACATGTATGTTTGTAATTTTTTTTTATTACCTCGGATCTTCCAAACGGCTGGATGGATTTCGACAGTTAACAAAATCATTATATTTGTCTTAAAACTCCAAGTGTTATTAGATAGCTGTTTGAATAAATAAAAAAACAAAATGGCGGATTTTGGCGCTAAATATTAATACGTTAATAAAAAAAATATTAACCAAACCTATTATGTGGGGTATAAAAATAAAGGAAATTAAAAGAGGATTACGCAATATACGTATATAAACTATGTATGTTTAAAATTAGGAATAATAAATTGGTTTAAAAAGTTTTTGATGTTTATATGAAATTTAGGACACTAAAAAACCTAAAATAAAATAAATCATTAAAAAAATCAAAAATCCGACTGCAAAATAGCACTTTAAAAGTAATGCACTAAAAAGATCGAAACAATATCGAGAATAGAAACCAAAATTAAAATAAACCATAAACAAAGTAAACTCTACTTCGGTTTAACAAACTACAGACCTATTAATTTTCTTTCGGTTTATAATTTGCAACGGGGACCCGCCTGCTACTAAACTTTTAACTTCTAGCTTTCAGCTCATATTGTCTGTTAAACCGAAGTGGAGTTTACTTTGTTTATGGTTTATTTTAATTTTGTTTTCTATTATCAATCTTGTTTCGATCTTCTTAGTGCATTACTTTAAATTGTCTTTTTTGCAATCGGGTTTTTGATTTTTTTTTTCATTATTTTTTATGGATTCTCCAAACTATTATAGGGTTGGTACCTACGTTTTCCTAAGCATAAATGCATTCACTATTTTGATGAAGTTTTAAGATTGTAGTTTTATAATTAACAGTTTTATAATTATAGTGCACACTACTCTTTAATCTCCCCCCCCCCCCCCTTTTACTTAATTCTTTTTTGGATTATCTGGAAGAAATTGGTGTATCGAAACAGGACCACCTTTTGTTTTTCCCTCAATATTTGAAAATTTTGTTATTGCCTACAGCACAATAAAGAGTATTGTTTATTAGTGTATAGAATTATGTTATATTGTATTTTATTGTATTGTATTGTATTAGTATTGAATTGTATTGTATACTACATGCTTCTAGGAGGCTTTTTTAACATTGTTTGAGGGCATTGCATATTACTATTATTTTTTTTATTTTAAGTGTTGTTATTTCTTTACGTTATGCATTGTGTTGTGTGTGACGAATAAATTATTTATTCATCAGGTACGTGAATTGTCAGCTTATTTTTCACTATGATATAATTATGTGTTAGAATTGAACAGAGCCTTCTAAATTAATATTTTAATTTTACTCTTTTACTAAAATAACCAAACACCCATTTTTTTCTGTTGAATGTTATAAATATAGATGAAGGAAAATGCTAAAAAAGTCTTACCCGTAAAATCGCAAAAACATCTAACGAGCGAGACTAAAAAGGCATCACTCAACTCGTTATATTTTCCTTATTACTTTTGATTTTTAAATTATTAACGCAAGGAAAAATCGTTCCATGTATTTGATTCTCCAAATAGCGTGAAAATCATTCCAAAGTTGGTGAGAGCGACAGTGCTCGAACAGAGAGATTGTTTCAAAATTACTTCGCTGGTGTTCAGCCAATTTCACTTGGCAACCGTTCCAGTTTCAGTGTGTATGCGTCAAATCTGGGTAAAAGTTAGGAAGTTTTTAGGGTTCCGTAGTTAAACAATAAGGAACCTTTTCGTCATGTCCGTCCGTCCAAGATTTTTTTAGAGAGAGATTTTAGAGATTTACTTAGAGACTCTAGGTACTACAAAGCTGTAATTTTGTAGTTATGGGTATTAATCATGACTTCAAAATTGTGAGATAAAATCTTAAAAAGCAGTTTGATTTTTGATTTGACATTGGTTGGGGTGTCGTTGGATAGGTATTTTAAAAATATTGGGGATATGGAACAACAGTTTTTCAATTCAGGGGTCCGTTGGCGTAATATTTAGCTTTACCGACCAAACCGCTGTTTTTGGAAATGTGAAAAGTATACGAGATAATAGTATATACTTTATGGACCAAGTTATTAATTAGTATTATAATGCCCGAGCAATATGAACAATGACAAGTCAAATAGGGCTACGTAATTAATACTGATTTAAACTTCAATATTTATCACATTGTCTGGTCGTTGTGATTATTGCTTTATATGTAACTGTTGGGAAATTTGATATAATCTAACCTAACCAAACCTAACCATGTTAATCACTTTTAAAACAATACGTTAATAATGTTTTAAGTAAGTAAAATCGTTAAAAAATTAATTTGCTAATCATATCGCTCGATTATCCTATGAATAGACACTTCCATCTCTTTATTATTCTGCCTAATACTGCTTTATTCGTATTCTCCGGTCAATTTAATTATTTCAACACTTCTGATTTCTGATGTTGTTTGTGGTGTTAGCCTTTTCGCTCTTACAGTTTCAACGAACTTAGGACTAAGCTAAAAAAGGGAGTGGAGATTATTTATTTAGAGTAACGTTGCGAAAGCAAAGTTGCACCAAAATCTTGTGATTTGTGATCACATCATGACATGAATGAGTTGTCTAACCGTCGTTTTTTTTTTATAGAATAAAGGTGACAAACGAGCACACAGTCCACCTGATGGTAAGTGGTTGCTGCGGCCCATAGACATCTACATCTATCCTCTATTACAAACAAAATGTAGATGCGTTGTCACCCGTGAGGACTAAGATCGAATGCCTCATTTCCAGTAACAAGGGCCTCCGGCCTCCTGCAGGTGGCACTTACCAAGCGAAACGCAGAGGTAAATCTCTACTTTACGCTGGTTTTCTGTGAGGTCGTGGTACTACCCCGGTTCGAACCGGCCCATCCGTGCGACAGCAAAAGCTGCCGCGTGGCTCTACCACTGTTAAAGTCGTCTGAACAAGGGCGTCGCGCCCCGGCTCTGATAGCTAACTCGTATCGTTCGATGTTCTGGGAGGTGAGAACCGCCCGGGGACGCGGGTGTATGGTATGTACATGGTGTGGAGGGAATGTAGCGTGCTCGTCAGCATCCTCGCTGCATCCCATCCGTTGTCCACCTAACCGTGCTTGTGACACGAGGTGAGTGTGTAATGTTTGTGTGTGAGTGGCCGGCGACATTTGGGTTTTCGGTATCTAGCGGAACTGGGGTTCGATTAAAATATTGCGGGGCCTCCGAAAACTTTCCGTAACGTTTGGAGTTGGAGCGTAGGTGGCTGCGTTTGCTATTGGCGGGTTGGGATTTGTTTATGAGGCTCTCGAAGTAGCGCCGAGATATTTCCTTAAAATATTCAGAGATCCTCGGAAGTTGGCAATCCCTTTGTAGGTCGGAGTTTCACTGGTACCACCGAGCTCCGGTGGCCATGCGAATGAACCTATTTTGGACAACTTGGAGGTTGTACAAATTACGACGAGCCACGAGCGCGAAAGTTACGATTGTGTAAGACATGATAGGTCTTACGTACGCTCTATTAAGATGGAGCTT